CAGCCGTACATGTTTGAGCCCTTGCCTCGCAACGCTGCCAGTTCTGTTAGCTCTACGCCTGCTGAAGACACAGACGTCCATCTCTGCTAACACTGGGACGGAACTCAATGGGAAAGGAAATTATTCTTATTTCAGCTGTTGCTAATATTAGCTGCGACATATGAATCAAGATGCTATGACTGAAAAAATTTGATTGCCAGATATGATTGGCAGAATTTAGGTGTAAAAGCTGATGTATAATCAACTGGCCTGCATAAGATAACGAGAAAAAAAACAACAACACAGATATTAAGACAGGATTTTTTTTTTTTAAATAGAAATTTTCCAAATTTTGGGACAATATCATCTGATAAAGAGTACATTTATATACAGGTCCTTCTCAAAACTTGAGCATATTGTGATACAGTTTATTATTTTCCATAATGTAATAATAAAACTTGAACATTCATATATTTAAGATTCATTGCACACTAACTGAAATATTTCAAGTCTTTTATTGACCGCAAACGACGGAAAACGACCCGTGAAGTTTGACCAGCTAGAAGAGCGAGGGGCGCTAGAATGCTGGGAGCCTTTTTCCACCTGGATCCCCGCTCTTTTTGGGCCTCATGGCCCTCCGTTGTCGGACAGACTCTCCCCCACTTCCTCTCCACCTCGGCCCGTATCTAGACCCACAACTAGTTCCTGATTGTCTTGAGCATAAATCAAAAATTTCTGTGTCAAGCTCACTGTGACACACTGCTGCGGGGAGTATAACCAGCCCTTGAGTCTGGAGGAGAAACATCCAGAGCCACCATGCACAGGCGTGTGCAGGAAATGGGCTACAGGTGCTGCATTCCCCAGGTCAAGCTACTTTTGAACCGGAAACAGCAGCAGAGGCGCCTGACCTGGGCTACAGAGAAGCAGCACTGGACTTTTGCTCAGTTTTGCATGACATTTGAAAATCAAGGTGCCAGAGTCTGGAGGAAGACTGGGAAGAAGGAAATGCCAAAATGCCAGAAGTCCAGTGTCAAGTACCCACAGTCAGTGATGGTGAGGGGTGCCATGTCAGCTGCTGGTGTTGGTCCACTGTGTTTTATCAAGGGCAGGATCAATGCAGTTAGTTATCAGGAGATTTTGGAGCACTTCATGCTTCCATCTGCTGAAAAACTTTATGGAGATGATTTCATTTTTCAGCACAACCTGGCACCTGCTGACAGTTCAAAAACGACTGGTAAATAGTTTACTGACCATGGTATCACTGGGCTCAATTGCCAACTCTCGTGACCTGAACACAATAGAGAATCTGTGGGATATTGTGAAGAGAAAGTTGAGAGACGCAAGACCAAATGCTCTGGATGAGCTAAATGTCGCTATCGAAGCATCCTGGGCCTCCATAACACCTCAGCAGTGCCACAGGCTGATTGCCTCCATGCCACGCCGCATTGAAGCAGTCATTTCTGCTAAAGGATTCCAGAGCAAGTGCATAACTGTACATAATTATTTGAAATCAAATTAGTTGACATTTTTTTGTATTAAAAACACTCTTTTTTTATTGGTTGGATGAAATGTGCTAATTTTGTGAGATAGGAATTTGGGGTTTTCATGAGCTTTATGTCAAAATCATCCATATTAAGACAATAAAAGACCTGAAATATTTTAGTTAGTGTGCAATATGAATGTTCAAGTTGTATCATTACATTATTGAAAATAATGAACTTAATCACGATATGCTACTATTTTGAGAAGGACCTTTACATGTTTAAGCCAAAATGATCTAACATTTAAATATGACTTTCCTACGACTTTAAAACAGGTCTAATATTCTTGATCAGTAGACCGAGGCTTGATGTCGCGTAGAGCAGGCATCCCCAACCTCGGTTGTTGAGGCCCGCTGTCCTGCAGGTTTTAGAGGTTTCCCTGCTTTAGCACAGCTGATTATAATGATTGCAGTAGAGCAAAAGCCTGTTAATCGGCTTTCAATTAAAATCAGCTGTGCTGGAGGAAGGAAGCCTCTAAAACCTGCAGGACAGCGGGCCTCCAGGACCGAGGTTGGGGATGCCTGGCGTAGAGGGCAGTATCCGCTCGATCATTGATGTAGTTATTATTGATGAAGTCTCTTTAATACAGCGGAAGAATTAGATTTTTATCATACATATTTAGAAAAAAAAATTATGTCACAAGCTTATTGTAAAAACAGTCATTTAAAATAAAATACATAAAAATAGATCGTTTTACTATATCACAAGCTAACTGTAAAAAAGACACAAATTTAATATATAATGAAAGTCATGAAAATAAGAGAATACAAAGAAAATATATTAATTTTATTATACAATAAACTAATTCTTAAAAAAAAACAAAGACTGCATTTGAAAAAGAGAGTGAAGATAATTAGGGAGCTGTCTCCACCTTAAATGCAATCCTGGTAATAACTCGTTAGTGGATTCGTACTGTTGTGTGTCTTGCATGCCTGCTTCTCGGGGCTACAATGGATAAAAATAATTTTAAAAAAGCACGCAGAGAGAGAGAGAGAGAGAGAGAGAGAGGGAGAGAGAATCGTTAATTCATGAAATACAATCAGGGGTACTTTAATTGTATTACTTTAAGAGTAATACAATTAAAAGGCAGACTTATTATGTGACTTAATAAGTAGGTAACGGGGGCTTCTGTTCTGTTACTTTGTGTCCAGCTGAGGCGATTGGGAAGCAAGGAACTCGGTTGTTTTACAGAGAACTACGGAAGCGATTTGCATTTACCAAAGAAAAAAATCAGACAGTGTCATGTTGGGTTCAAGGAGTCTAACCCACATGCAGAAACCACTCTTGAAACAGGGAAAATGTTAAATGATTTATTTACAATGTTCACAGAAAAATGATGCACAGGTTCTGGGTTCTTCGGACAGGTCATGGGAGGAACACCACTGAGAAGGACAGAGCAGTTGGGGGGGGTGGGAACCTTGAGGGTCCAGAGGCTAGTCAGCAAGTAGAGGGCTGAGGGCAGAGGCAAAGACTGAAACGGAGTGCCGGCAGGCAGATTCCAGACAGAGATTTTTATTTCCAGGATTTCAGGTTTCCAGAAAAGTCAGGATCTGTGAGGCAGAGAGAAACAGGATCAGACAGGTTCTCAAAATCAGGGTTTCAGATCAGGCAGGCTGGCTCAGGTTTTGCTAACCATTACTGGCAAACACTCTGGCAGGGAAGTGTCAGCCTCCTCCTCCTTAAATAGGTCTTCTGATGAGGAGACAGGAAACAGGTGTGTAGAAGTGAGCTCATGCCCTCAGGAGGAAGATCTTATGCGCCTTCTGGTGGAGAAAGTGGACAAGCCTCCAGATCCCAACAGACAGCTTATCTAATAATTACGAGATCAGTATCTTTTTATGTAATTAAAATATTATGAGAAAAAGCCTTGCTATTACGAAATCTTGTGTATATAACTAGTTATGATTACTTGAATCCGTAATGAAGCATCTCTCAGAAAGCTGGTCTTCATGATTACTTTTTAAAAATATCTGCATCTGTTCCACTGAACAGTTCTCTGTACCGAGGGCCTGATACGCATTGGAGCTCTGCTCCTGTGTTTCACTTCATTAATAAAGTACCCAGCTATAACCCTTGGATTACTACTTGTGGAGTAAGCATGCAGCCATATAACCATACGTGAAAATCCATCACCAGCTCCATTGTTAGAGATTCTGTATGGTTTTAGTTTTTCATATGAATCGACATGCCACATAAAGTTGGGACCTGGTCGTTTTAAACAATTCTGAAACCAGCTTTACTCCTTGCGGATCTAGGATTTTGAGATGGTACCGGCGGACAGTTCTTTGGGACACCACCAAGCCAGCTGGAATG